CCAAACCATGGTTTGGGGTGTCATCCAAACGGAGCTGTATCTAAGTGCTCTGCACGTATCTCTCTTTTCAGTGTCTCTAACTCTTCTCCTCCTTGAGGTCTTAGCAGTGCTTGAACATGTTGAAGCCACCAAGAATGCTGTGTAAGTATAATTTTGCTGATTTTTTTTGTCTATTTCTTTGTCGTATTTGCAAGCAGTGAAGAAGTGTACTCAAAACGACAAAATGGAAGAAGCTGTCGCTTTTGCATCTATGTTCTTAAACCCTTCTTGAAATGAACATTATGCAGAATTTTGGATTTTAGTGATAATAAGAATGAGTTCTAATATAAGAAAATCGATCTCCGAGGTTGCATATACAAACTTTGTCAGCTTACACTTGAAAGGATTTCTATTTTCTAAACTCATCTTGAAAAAGAAATCTCTGTTTTCGTAACAGCTTTTTCTTCTAGTAAGCAATTTTTAACAGTATTATTAATATTTGGGATGACTCAAAAAAAAAAAGAGGGATTGAGTTGCGGGCCAATAAAAAGTTGAGAAATTGAGTTACATGGGATCAAAGTTTAAGGACTGAATTATAAATGAGTTAAAGATTTAAAAATCAAAAGATTAATTTTTCCTTTAAAAAATGCTGGCAATTTTTTTTTTTTTGAGGAAAAGAATTAGTCTTGAACTCACGTGGTCGCTGCATACCAACTCTCAGTCGCATTTTATAACTCCTGCGAAAATTCAACTTCATTTTCGCGCATTTTATTTTTCGGGTCAAAATAGATGTCAAGTATCTTATTGGTACGAAAGCGATGTTAGGCTATTAAAAGAAATTATTAATCGATTCTTAATCTGCAAGTTTCGCATTAATTATTCAATAAAAAAAAGTCATACTGAGAAAATATATAATGTATCATACAAACCATGGAATTAACACATGCAGAAAGATCAAAATAAATTTTATTTGTTAAATGGGACATGGAATAGAATGTATAATGACCAACGAAATACTTTTAAATTATCGGATTTGATTGGAAAGAGGTTAATAAAACTTCGTTTCGTCAAAGAGGAACCAAAAAACTTCATGACTTTTAATCACAAACAGTTGTGTTGGGGGGGGGGGGTTAAATCAGGGAGGAGAAGATATAAGTTTAAAAGTAAATTCTCCTAATAGGATCAAAAAATTTTAAAATTACTCATTAAGTGGAATCGGGGACAAAAAGAAGGGGGATTGGTAAAAGCCATCACTCCTCAATTTTTTTCTTTTCTTTTTAGTCTTTTATAGGTGTTATGTACCCCACCGGAAAAATCTCCAAAGAAAAATTTGTTACTGAGAATTAATAAAAACCTAAATCAAAGTACTAGCACTTCGATCCTAATTATAAAATCTATTTTATAATATAATTTATATTATAAAATAATTTTTATATTTAGGATCGGAAGACTACATATAAAATTTACAGCATAATAATATTTTTTATGCATACAAATTTGTGAGATTCTTTTCATCCCTACATTTTAATGGGGGACTTTTTTTAACTTTTTTAATTATATATGTATATACTGTCTTCTGTCTTAGTTATAAAATTTTATTTATAAATTATAAATAAAATCTTATCATTATAACATGAGGTAGCATTTCAGACTCTCACATCTTCAAAAAAATTAGGTCCCAAATCCAAAGAGTGGGTAAGCAAAAGGTGGCGTGGAAGGCGCGTGCGTGAAGAATGGGTGGGTGGCTGTTCGAAAATGAAGGGAGGCCCAAATCTGGTGGCCTTGTCTCATCCTCTGTTTGTTTCCGCCTTTATGTCTGTTGACTTTTTTCTCAACGGTTCTCTCCCTCCTCTTTTTCTTTTTTTAGAAAATCCCCCCGGGAATTTAGGATCCGAACTTTTGATTCCAAATCGAAACCGGCACGTCCAACAAGTGGGTTGCGCTATACAATTTCTGCTCCGCGTAAGGGTCTGTTTGGTTTGAGGGGAGGGAGGGGTAGGGGAGGGGAGGGGAGGTTTTATCCTCACCTTGTTTGGTTTGATTAAAAAGAAGGGGAGGGGAGGGTATTTAATGATCCCTTGTTTGGTTCAAGGAGGGGAGGAGAAGGATAGTAATAATCAATTTACCATTTTACCCTTACATATTAGTTTATGTTTTTTATTGATATATTATATAAATTAATTTACATCTCAATTTAAATTATATAATTTAATAAAAATTCAGTCTTATCATGTTAATATGTGTATTAAAAAATTGGTATAGTAATTTTTTATTCTAATTAATATAATAATATATTTAAAATAATCAAATTAACAAATTTTATATGCTCTAAGAAAAATGAAATTTTATTTTCTTTAGGCTGTCTTTTTTTCCAGCTTTAAAATATATTTAATAAATAATATATTTATAAAAAACAATTAATTTTATATATTATAATTTTTTATTTAAATACTTTTTTATTTTTAAATAATTTTTATAATAGATTTTTAATTATAATAATGTATATATTTTTTTTTTTACTTAGGATAATATATTTTTTATTTGAAATAAATATTATAATAATATATTTTATGGGTAGGAGTGGAATATTAAAAAAACCATAAGGGCATAATGGTCCAAAATTTTGGCTCCCCTCCAAAAACCCCCAATTTGGAGGGGAGCCAAAATGGGGGAGGGGAGGGGACATTTTAGCTCCCCTCCCCTCCAAAATTTTTAACCAAATGAGGGGAGGGGCTCCCCTCCCCTCCCCTCCCCTCCCCCGCCCCTCCCCTCCCCTCCAACCAAACACACCCTAAATCAAGACTTGCAGTCTCCGCGTCCGCCCAATTGGTGTGCTGTTTGTTTAGAAATAAAATGATTTATAAATAACTTTTTAATTATGATTTAAAAAAATAATATAAATATATGAGAAGAGTTTTGTCTTGACTTACATAAAATATACTACCTCGGATCCTTATTATAAAACCTTGTTTGACTTTTATTTTGATCCTAAATATAATAGCTTAATCTACTTTATCTCTTATATTTATCCATTTTTTTCCTTGATAATCCTTCTAATAATAGTAGTTCTAGATAATAAACTTGACTAACAAGGATATTTTAGGAAAAACAACACATATTCATTAGAAATAACTGACTTAACTAAGTTCCTTAATCTCCTCAAATTAACCAACTGGATCTTATAATTAGGACCGGAGGTAATACTTATAAGTGCTTTTAAGGGTCAATCTAAACCACTCCGAATCTTTTAGTAAAGGAACTTGCACTGTATAAAATACTTGCCAATAATACTAGTTCCGCTTCTCAATATAAAAACTAGTTGATTAATTTAAATAAATTAAACAAATTTATTAAGTTAATTATTTATAATAAATATGATTTGAATTCCTTATAATACTTTTACCAGTCATGTGTATTAGTTAGAACTATAATTTGATGAAATCCTTAACATGTGCAATAGGGAAGCAGTGGTCAAAGACACAGACTGCCCATACCTACCCATTTACATATAATATTTTTATTTTTGTTTATTTTGCGTGGTATCTAGTTCATGATCAAGTATATTATTAATGATCTAGTTTATGATCAAGTTTATTTTACAATAATTTCTTGGGAAATATGCTCGGAGTCACATCATTCAAATTATATGCTTGATGAGCAATCCAAAACACTTCTGCAAGTTGAATCGAACACCATTTCATCTTCATTTGTTAGTCTTTATAAGCTAAACATATGATAATTCTTATGCTAGATATAATTCAATTATTATTAGAGATATATTAGGAATTAATTAGGTGATTTGCAGTTAAAATTTATTTTAAGGGTTTATAAATGCAAGTTCAATACTTCTCCAGTCCTAAATATAAGACTCTTATATACATATTAGTATAAGAGTCTTATATTTAGGATCGAAGGAGTACATATTTCAAAAATTCATCCAGGCAATTTTATTTAAAAACTAGAAAACCTATCATGTAGACTTTCTAGGAGGTATTTTACTTAGCTTTTTAATAATATTATTGCTAGTTCTTGTTTGTTGAAATGTTATCTGCATGGAAAAAATAGGAGATTTCAATTAAACGAGTTAACCTATAACTTATGAAAACCCACTCTTTTAGAGGGGGTCTATTTTTAACGGGCTTAAATAAATTCAATATGAGTATTAGCTAACTGATTTAATCTTAAATGGGTAGGCTGCCGATACACACTGGTCATCCAACACGCCTGTTCTATTGCCTTGGCAAATAACAAGCCCAACCACTCTAAATTATTAATTATGACACAAGGATCTGCTATTCGTTTCCTCCACATTTTTTTCTCCGCGGGCTGTGCTTACACACACACACACACAGTCTTAAACACACGCATTGTTTTACTATAATATTATTAATTATTAATTAATACACACGGACAAAGGGATTGATTTATGTTTTGAGTCTTGTCGGCTGAGGAACATAACTCCACGACTATTTTTGGAGCTGGTTACAAGATAAACATGGAACCAGTTTTAATACCCATCACTTTGACAAGCACATTAAACTTATCAGATCTGGATTGTTCATATCTGATTTGAATAGTCCGATTTAAAATATTTAATTAATTATTTTTAAATAGAAAAAGTTATTTTTAAAAGAATGATAGTTAAAAAATTGTCTCTATTTTAGATTTTATACATATTAAACTAATTATTTTAAACAAATAAAAAAAATCAGATCCAAACTATTTAAATGAGATATAGACCATCCTGATTTGATGAGCTTAGTGGTTCCATAAATATTGGTTTTATTTCCTGGGGGTGTGATGTTAATTTGTGGCGGGGCACGAGCTAAGAGATATATTAAATTTCCAATCGGCGAGGCCTATTTTTCCCTTTCGGTTTTGTTTTGAGTGTGGTTCGTTTTGCTCTCATTTATTTACGTTAAAAGAGTTCATGGGAATAAAAGCCAAGCGGTGCAATGGCCGGGGCACAAACACACACGTCTGTAAGCAGACCACCGAGATTCCTCACGCACACGTCAGGAATAATGATTTATTCCCAACGGCAAATTTATGTCGTTCTGTACATTTATAGACCAGACAATGTAAATTTGCAAGGAGAGAGAATGAAGAAACAGGAGCAGATACCATAATTCTATAGGTCAACCGACCCTGCGATTTATTTCGATCTGAACATAACATGGACTCCTGCATTTTTATACTGCCAGTTTATTCGGAGGATGAATTGATGTGACTGGGATTTCCAGAAGGGAAGAAGGCGGTGCCCAGACGACTTTCGATTCAGTTTGTCCAAGACGATATCTGATCGAGGAAGGGACCACGATGTGCCTCCTCCACGCACCACGTCATCAAACGAATCCCTTTCCTTGGCAGGGGCAGTGACCCCACAATGCCTACTGGGATGATGCTGGAGCCTTGTATGGGCACCACGTGCACTGGTGGCCCCCACTGGTAGTCCACTTCGTTGAATCCCAGCCGTCCCCACTCCGATATGAACAGAGTAGTGTACGTCAGAGGCGGAGCAAATGGGTCTTCCCCATCTTTCCGATGCTCACCCTTCAAGTATTTACCGAACTCCGCGGGAAGCCTGGCCTTGGCTTCTTGAATCAACTTAATCACTTCGATAATGGATCTCTGTGTCAGCGACTCAGACGGAATAGTAATTGTCACAGGGAAGAAGCAATTCCCGTAGAAGCCTTCAGGCAAAGGCGGGTTCAAGAGCTGACGACAGTTCGCAAAGAAGACCAACTTCACCTGGGTATTCGGACTGAAATTTATGGCTCTCGTTCGGCTGATCCAAAACCCTGCCGCTACAATCTGGAAGGCAGAGCAATTCTGTCCTGTTATTTCCTGAAATTCTTGCTTAAGCCGGTGAACGTGATCTATGGGTATGTCCATATTAGCATGTTCTAGCTCGTACTCTGGCATTGGCGGTGGACCAGGTGGTAGTTTTGGCAATGCAGCTACGGTTTCTTCATCAGGTGTTGATGGAAAGAAGTCCCTGTGCCACAATGGGGCAATGCTTGGTTTTTCAAGACCTCTAGCTACCTCACCAATGGCTTTCAAAAATTGCGCAGCACCGAGACCATCACATACGCTATGGCAGAATATTAGGCCTATCACAAATCCCCCGCAACGAAAATGCGTCACCTGAAAAATATATTAATTGCCAGACATAATCATTTAATGAAAACTCTCAGGCTTGAATTCGACGTCCAGAGCAGAAAGTTCCTAGTAATCTGTACCTGCATTTTCACGAGGGGTTCGACGTCTTCAGTCTCAGGGTCGGGAAGAAGATCATCGTAGGGGATAGATTCAACATCGTCGAAGTAATTGACTGAGGCAAGAGTGCAAGAAGCCGACGCCTCAACGAACCACACGCCTTCACCGGAGCATTCAATTTGGAGGGGACCGTGTTCAGACTGAATGAGTCTTCCTGCAAGAGGGTAGTAAGAAACTAATGCCCTGGACAAGGCCTTTCTGATGACCAACGACGCGTCAGGGCCATATCTGAACACGTGCAAGGTTCGAGCATTGCACCTTAGAACAGGTAATCTATCGATGGCTGATAGGTCCAGTGTAATTGATGGCTTCTGCTCTGCTGGTTTCACTACACCACGCGTGGTTCTGATCACGGGCAGAGCCATTGGAATTGCAAATGCTGGGTCTCAAGTAGAGACGGCAGTCGAGAGAATGGCTAAAATTGGAAGAGATGCAGTGAGAAATGTGAGTGGGCCTTCTTCTTTATAGGAGGATATCTATTGAATATGTGTTTTGGGCTTCTTGGCCTTTAAGTCTCAACTTGGTTGGTATGGAAATTGAACTAGCCCGCCAAGTATAGTGCTGCACATTAAACAATGCGTTTGCTTTTTTGTGTCGCGTAAGAATGCTCATTGTTTAGCAGCAACCTTCTTACTTCTTAAAGACTATCCCATTAAATTATCTCTCAGGCATTGCTTAACATTCACTAAATTTGGAACGAGAAACTAAAAAGTGCCGAGGCAACGGGGAAAAAAAAAGAAAGAAAAGGTTTATGCTAACAAAACGCGTCCACAAGGTTAATTTCATTCACATCCTATAAGCTGTAGGTACCGTAATTTAAACGAGAAAGCAAGACTGTGTAAGAAATTACAAGGAACAAGTCTGTTGCGTGTCGTGTAGTCTGCATATAAACCAGAAATGTGGCTTCATCAGAAGAAAATAGCAGTAAGGTTCAGAGGACAAAAACACCATTTTGGCTGCCGACTGGCTAAGCATTTTTGTGGAAGTGACTTTATTTTCTAAAAGTAGGAACACGACGTGGGAGAAACAATGGAGGAGGAGGAGGTACGGCATGAATATGTTATCCGCTAACGGGACCAGGAAGGGTTGAACACAATCATTATTAGCTCGAGTCGCTTGTCGATATGTATGAATATTATAGAAGAATAATTGAGGGACATGTCATATTCAGAGTATATGCCGGGTATATGTCGATGGCAAAAGAAAGGACGTGTGTGGTTGGGTTATGGCCAGCTTCTGGGCCGGGCTTGGCGCCTTATCAATTTTGTTTGGTATATGTGACTTAGAACTAGTTCTGATATTTATCACAATTTATGAGACTTAGAACTAGCTTTGATATTTATCACAATAATGACTATTATGTTACTTATCACAAAATTATTAGGATATAATTTTAATAATTTAAATTTAAAATTTTTAACTAGTGATTTTTAAATAAAAAATTATTTTTTCAAAAAACCTATAGTTAAGATATTATATTTATTTTAAATTATGTACCTATTAAAAATATTTTTTAAAAAACAAAAATACTAAGTATTAAATCTCAGCTATCCATATTAAATCTGAATATTTAAAATTTTTGATGAGTATCATGATACTCATCACTATGATAAACACTAAAACTAGTTTCATATGACATCTTCGTGTGAACCAGTTTCAAGTGGTAGGGGATGGGTGAAGTTCTCTTTTAGTTTATTTTCATGTACCATTGCTCAATTATCACCACCTCTCCTCCTTGATATAAAGTTTGCTGACTAACTTGAATTGATTAAAAAACTAGTCAAGTTAGTTATTCGTGATAAAGAAGTGTCATTTTCTTCAAAATATCTTTGTTAATCATATGTATTAACTAGAATTACCATTTGATGAAACTTTTAACATGTGCAACTACTACAAGAACTATCTTAAGAAAAAATAGATAAATATAAGAGAAAAAATAAATTCAAATCTTATATCTATGATTAAATCAAACGTCAAACCAGCTTTTATATTAGGACCAGAGATAATAGTACGTTATTACCAACAACGAGTTGGGTATGGCAAAAAAGAGTGATGTCAATGCCTAACATAATAATAATAATAATAATAATAATAATAATAATAATTCTATTGCTTTAAATAAAGGTGAGAAATATCAAAGTGAATTTTTATTTGATAAAAAATATTACTCATTTCAATATTTCGCATTTCGAGTCCACATCTTTCGTCTCTTGTTTCAGGGATTTTTTTTTTTTGGGACAGAACTTTTTTCCTTGACATATATATATATATATATCTCTAAAGAGAAACGCCAAAATAAACTCACGAGCACCACCAGAACTTTTATAATTTTATTTGATCTGACGCTAAATAAATTCCCATGTTGATCTCGCGTTTAATGCCGTTATTACTTTATATGCTACCATTAAATTAACTTTTAATAATTAAATTAACAAGTTACCATTTATTCATGATATTAAATGCTCCGTTGCCTTGGATATACTTTGAAGAGACGCTTGTTTTATAGATGTCTGCCTAGAGATCTTGCAATTGTTGAGAATTTTTTTTTTTTAAAACCCTCAATTCAGATTTCAGAGTATGAATTTTTCATGTCAACGTCATTTGGATAATTATGCCTCAGGTTTTAAATGGGAGATTGCGTCAATGCGCTGTGCAACTTGATACAATTAAACCCAGAATCTAACACAACAGCGTATAAAATTAAATGTAATTTTTTATTTTGTCAGCTGAGAATTTGAGACGTTCTGCTTTGTTTTTCTCAATGGTTTGATACCGAAAAAGGGGATCTAAACCCTATCACTTCTCAATCCCCAAGTTTTATTGTCTTTATTTTTATCGAAAATAAGAATCCATTAAAAAAAAAGAAGGTTTTTTTTTTTTGCCAACGTTCAAAAACAAAGCCAAGACATGCTTTGCTGATGATAATTGAACGATTATGATTTGTTCATCTCAAATTATAATTTTTTTAATTGAAGCGACAAAAACTAATTGATCAGTTTGGCAAAAAAATTCCGGGTAAAAAAAAGGTTTCACAAAAGGGGGGGGGAATCAGCGACGCAATGAAACAACTGCATCCGTGGAATGGATAAACAGAAAGATAAAATTTAATGGAGTAGCAGGTAGGTCTAGAATTTAATTATAACTGGATTAATGTTATAAAGTCGCAAAATTCCTCATGTCATACAAAATTAAGTGAAGTGATGAAATTATCCTTAAAAAACATTGATTATATTTTATTTGCAACCTAACTTCCCAAACTTAACTGTGGTTTTTTAGTAATTTCGAAACCCACCTTTGCAAACTTTAATCGAAAATGTGAGAAATTAACTGGTTTAATTGTGTAACCTAACTTTCCCAATTCAAGAGCAATTCACAATTAATTTGCACATTGCCCTCTAAACGGGGAACAAAAATTAACCAGACCAAATGCTTTTCTTTCGGCCTTTTTGCGACACGGCCATCCAGGCCTGACAATGGTCTCCGAGTAACTCGAACGAAATCTAATTTTTAATGAAACGCGTTGAAAATTAACTAATAAATTGTTTGAAAGTTACAGTAACATGCGAAGAATCTCACATCTCACTGTAAAGTCGCGCTCAGGACTGTTAACATTCCTTCTCACTGTAACTTTAACTTTGAATTAATATGATATTTGGTTTCTAAAATTTGCATAAATTTTAACTGTAGTCTCTTAAAATTTAAATTATATGTTTTGGTTCTTTATTGGACACAATTACCCAGATTTTTATTAAATTATAACATTTTTTCATAATACTTAAATTATAGAGACTAATATTTTAAATGGAAAAAAACTTGACAGACTAAAATCAAAATAAGAATAAATTTAAGGAGACAAAAAATTGTATTAATCTATTAACTTTATATGAATAAATAAGCATTTTAATTCAGCATCATAAAAAGGTGTAAATACTGCAACTAATAAAACACAAAAATGAAAACGCTATCTGCAGTTAAGTTGAAAAACTTGTTGGAACTGCTGTCAGTGAGGGTACATAAATTAAGACCGAGAAAACAATAAATTTGTCAACACAATGGACGGAACAACCGATCAAAATTTTTTAAATAAACCCTCGTGGCAGGAAGCTAAAGAAAAAGAATCATTTAAAAATGGCAGTAATATATTAATTTCGTTTCTATTTTTTTTGCTTAAATAATTCTCAAATGAAACATACACTTCTTACCGCTCAATGTGCCTTTTTTCCATAAAGAATGGAAGAAGTGTGCCTTGATCCGCCAAACAGTCGTGTCACCCTATCAATAATTCAGCACGATAAAATACAAAGAAGCGCATTATTTTATTTTAGAATTCGATGGGGGCCTTGAAGTTGGTTAGCACTGGCTGCTTTCCTGAGATCAGTCTGAATCAGAACGAACAGCCTCCGATCTTTTATTACGGGGTAAAAAAAAAAACTCTTCAATAGCCACGCTTAATGTTCCACGTTAATCATTGTTCTTTTTACAGTCCAAGGAATCTATCTACTATAATAATATAGGAAAAGACTCTTGTGTTAGACGATTTTTTTTTCCAATTCCCATTCGGACAAAGCAAGAAAAAGAAAATCATGTTTTTTTTTTTCCCTGAATGACAGGGCAAGTCGAAGTGTGAGGTTAAACAAAAGATTTGTCAAACTGATTTCATGAGCAGTCTCTTTCAGTCCTACCTGGCGCAGGTCCTACCCAAGCCCCATGCGACATTGCGACGCCTCTCTTCTCACTCAATGGGTCGCTGAGATTTCAAGGAAATAAATTACTCGCAAGTTTCCGCTTTCCGCCGCAACAATCTCATCTCGTCCACTCACACAATTCCCTAAATTTTTTATGCTGTTTTTTCTTTTCCCTTATGGAAGATGAATCTTTTCTTTCCTTGCAAACAAGGACCCAATTTGAACCCATCACCGAGCATCGAGTTCCTGATTTATCCCTTGCTAGCTCTTATTCCTTCAACGAATTTATCGCTTTACAGGAACCCCAGCGAGACCCACAAGCCTCATCTCAATTATTGACTCAGAATGCGCCCAAGAAGAAACTTACTCGCTGCAAGACTGCTCCTGCCATGGTTGTTTTTAAGGATTTCAGACGAAAATTATCCGATGTTCCTAAACCCCAGTCTAGCTCAATCATCAGGCAAGGCGTTTGCTTGCTTGTGATATATCTTTCAGTCGGGGTTGTCATATACTCCTTCAATCGGGACCATTTTTCTGGCGCAGAGACTCACCCAGTTGTTGATGCGCTTTACTTTTGTATAGTCACCATGTGCACAATCGGTTACGGAGACATCACACCGACAACCTCAGTAACCAAGGTCTTTGCCTGTTTCTTTGTATTGGTAGGTTTTGGCTTCATTGACATATTGCTT